GCACTCACAGAAATGTCAGTGGACACCAATGGTCGAAAGAAATCAGAAGTCTTAGATGCAAGGAAGTTACTGAAGTCCGAAAAGGCAGGACAACCGCACGGGAGGCAGATTTCGGGCAGCGACAAGACAGAAATATATTGGACAGACTAGAAGACTCCACAAGATTTGGACTTCGGGAGTAACTGACGTCTAATTTCATATAGATTCGAATAAACACAGGTGAATATAGAGAAAACGAAGGTGGTGAAGATGACCAACCACAGCAAGTAGCAATCATCACTATCAGTGGGAGAGATTTGAAAGAGCTTACTTCTTTCAATAATTTGAGCAGCATCGTTCCAACTAAGGCGGAACGGCTGAGGATGTCAAAAGCGGAATCGGGAAGGCAAGGCAGACCTTCATTACTCTGAAATGAAAGGTGGAAATCTTCTACAATCGGCATAAATAACAAGGTTCAGATTTTCAACACCGACGTCAGGGCAGTTCATATTTGTGGGTCAGAAACTTGGAGCGTCACGGAAAGCATTCCTAACAGACTGTGGACTTTTATCGACAGTTGCCTTCACTAGCTGCATACTGAAGGTCAGATGATCGGAAAGAATTAACGACAAGAAACTATGGGAGCGAACTTGTCTCTCAGTAAATATATGGAGAAAATGGTTGTGGACCGGACACATGCTGAGGAGACTGTCGAGTGACATCATGCTGCAGGAGTACCCTCTAGTGGAACGCGAATGGGAAACATCGAGTTGTGTGTCCAAGAGTGAAATGCAGGAGATTGGGTGAGGAGGAGATGAAAGCCTTCCGGTAGTGTTGGGGCCTGGTAGAGAGGAGAGTAGATAACAGGATGAAATAGAGATGTGCTGTTGAAGCCCTATTTTCCACTCGGAACCCAAGGGAATAATAATGTATTTACATAATCTAATTGTTACATTTCTACTAGGATACCTATGCGAGAATATCATTGAGATATAAAAAACAAACATGATACATACTATTTCATAAAACATTCTTTTTGGATAGGACAACTGTATAGAGACTTCAAAAACCGTTCACTCCAGTTTTTAAAAAATTTCAGTGCTATAACTTATGACAAAAATGTAATACATGAATGATTTTGAATTAAATGTTTTGCTACTGAAATGTGCAAAAGTAGACAAAATAAAGTGTAAAAAAATACAAAATTGTTGCCCAATTTGAGATAGGCAGTTTATTCAAAGGAATAAATAAAAATAGATAATTGTATTGAACACAGTGGTATGGCAGTTGATCCAGCTGGGAGTCTCCTAAACGTCAAGGACTAATTTTTGTTGACAGAGACATTTACGAATAAGTTTTCGTCTGTCTGTTTTTCAACATAGAACTTTCCACCGATGTGCGGCATTTCAAGCCGCCACACTCCATGAAGCACACAAAGCAAAAGAAGAAAGCAGAAGAAATGCAAAATAGAGACATTAGACAGGGATATGAGACAAAAGCAATAGTAATAACAAGGAGAAATATAGTTTCATTGGAAATTATAAGTAACAAGGAGTGGATGCATCTGCGCCAAACACTGAGAACAATTTTGAGCCATATCACCGATTGTCTCTAGCCATTGGTTTTTACCGTCCCGTGGACTCCAACCAGGAAGTCTACACCTTCCTACGTGGCTGGCTCAAACTAACTGCTGTGGATTTCACTGACTGGTACTATGTTTTGGTCTGACCGCCTCTGGCTCTTTTCCAGCCAGACCCTATGTCAGCTAACATGACGAAAAAGTTTACCTACTTCACATGTCCTGATAGTTCCTACTGTACAAAAATACTGATGTGATATGGAAGTAATATGACTAGATTAAATTTTCTACAGTTAGTGAATATGTAGAATATTTTCAGATGCACGCGGGAACACCAACACACTGATCTCTCTTATCCTAAAATTTGATTTCTTTTAAGCAGTCATCTTCAACCTTCCAGAAGTGCTATTTCCTTTGCTAACTTATTTCCGTCTATTCCTTGGTGTCATTTCTGTATTTGCGTAGCAACCGAACCAATCTCTTTCTGATAAAAACTTTCCAAGTATACCTTTAACTTCGATCACTTTGTTGTCAAAATAAAAAGAACCTTACACCGTGGATGCAGTGAGAAGTATATAGAAGCAGTCTACAAAATTGCCTGACAAGTGAAATGCATAATCATTTTTATCCTGTTAATGGAAGTAAAGAAAACTTTAGCTTAACCCTTAAATTAATGCAATGAATTCGGTGAAGTGTGTTTCTTCCACTCATCAAGGCTTTCAAAAATACTTTTGAAAAACTTGTTGTTAAAAATGAAATTTTAGCCAATATAATTTTCGTTATTTTTATATGGAAATGATGCGGCAGAATATTTCATATATTTTTCGATATGTAAGTGAATTAAATTGAGTTTGGCGAATACCAGTCCACCATACTTCGACGGAGGCGTTTCGCCAGCTGATTCCTACCATTTTGCTAACTACAATTCAACTGAAGATTCTGAACTGCCAAGAAAATCAATATTTCTTGGTAGATATTTGACACTAATAAAATAATGACACAGTCCTATTAAAATTGGAAACATTTCATGTCTATATCGGCATCTGCTTATCACCAGGTTATCTTTATTGGACTAATATACACTTTTACATAAAAAGCTGAACACTGAAAAGTTATTCACGTGTTGGTGGATTACTGAGGTTAAATTAAGAGAAAAAAATATACCAGTAGTTAATTAACAGAAAACTTAGACACCTCATTAAAAATTTCTCTGAACTACACTAAAATGTGGCAGTGGATCTATCATGTGTAAAATCGATTGATTTTCATCAGCTCATCTAAGCCTTGCGAGGTAAACATATTGCTATGAATCGATATTGGACTGAGACGAAGTGTAGAGTAATGAACAGTTTATAGATGACTTTTTCAACCCTACTGTGCAAAAGATCCATTTTCTGGATTCATAAATGCATAAAGAACACATTCTCGTCAACAGCCACCCATTTAACATTCAACATACTAACTGAGCATTACGTGGGATGATAAACCGGCAGTTTCGCGTTATTCATTTACACAACAGCTGGGTATTACTACCCATTAAATATTTTTTAAACATGTGAAAACACATAAGAAGAAAGAGCGGTGATACAAATAATGAAAGTATTATACATGTTAAGGAATTGAAAGCCTCATCAGTACTGTCATATAAAGAAGAAACATTAAAGATCCCCAAGATGAGTGTAGCGTCTAAACTAACAAACTCACTGAGAGACAAAATTTGTTGGCTAAAGGATCTAACAGGCATAATAATTTAGAAAAATAATATGATTTACCAAATACTATATAATAACAGTGAGGTCACTGATATACGAATAGAACTTGCGCACTGTGTTAGAGTATAACTCCATTATGGGTAAAATTTATTTTGATAAAGTCTCACAGTGTTATACAGTAATATTTACTGATGACGTTTCGAGCACAGTTTATTGCCACTGATAATCATATCAGTGAACATTACTGCATAACACTGTGAGACTTTATCAAAATAAATTTTAACCATAATGGAACAGTGAGGTCAATTGCATAGGTCATACAGTAGATAAGGGTCGAATGCTTTGTCGACATATGAAAATTTAGCTACATGTAGAATGACTGACCGCGCTAAGTAAAATAATCTAAAAGAATACTAGGCCATTGCAGTACATTCACTTGAGTGTAATCACACAATTTATTGGGATATGGTGAATGTATCAAATAGTAATATAGTTAGGTGGGGTGGGAGAGAGGTTAATCACCAGTTCTTTGTTCATCGAATCAATATCAAACACGTATAGTCGAAATGATGCGACACCTATTGTGGAATCATAAAAATTACTTAAAAAAAGGTTAGAGTAAGTAAGGTTATATAAAGCAAGTCATGAAGTCGTGTGATTGCGCAATGATTATGAGTAGTAAATTCTGCCCGAAACGCCATCCTGTCATGAATAGTACATCAGTGTGTGTTATATCAAATAAACCTATGTGATGATAATAACAATGAATGGTAATCATGCATAAGGCATATTTTGCTGAACATGTAAAATAATGTCATTATTCCTAATATTATTCAAAGGACAGTGCAATATTAAGTTCATGTATTGTTTACAATAAATTATTGAAGGGCAGAATTCGTTGATATATATATATATATATATATATATATATAAATACATATATAATTCCCAAGTGACTAATTCATACCATAATAGTGGGTTGTTATAAAAATGATGAACAAAGCTTCAGTTATTTAAAATTATGTAACGTAACATAATTTTGCAGAATATTATGTACACATTTCAGATGAATAACAACCAATATACGTATTAGTACATATATATACGTTTTGTAGACCTTTCTAAAATTTTAATTTTAACGCCACTGACAATAATTTTCGTTACTAATGAAAATAATTGTGCATGTATTTATGAGTATATTGGAAGAGTGGGATGATGGGACATATTCAGCTTGAATGTATTGGAATTGGTCTACAAGTTCGATGTATGTGTACATATATATACATATTCGAATTGGTAATTGTCTTTGATCACACATACACGCACGGAAATAAGTATAGTTGCCTTTGCAAGTTGGCATACACGAACAATTGTAGTACTGAGTGATGTAATGTTTCAAAGGACATACAAAAATCCTTTTTTATCCTGTCTTTTGAGTGTATGTATGTGTGTGTGTTGGTGTGATAGGAAGAGAGAAAGACAGGAAAGAAATAGACAAATTATTCTACATTGTGTACTTATTTGTGCGTTGTTTTAGCTTCCTGATAGATAAGAGTACAATTATTATTGTAAGGTTTTGGGAATTACTATTTTATTTGAATTTTCTATTACTAGTAGTATTGCTGTTGTTGTTGTTGTCGTTATGAGTTATCGTGCCATTAGTATTGTTGTTTTTGTTTTCTATTTAATATAATGTTTTTTGTTCTTATCATAATCTTCTTTTAAAAACACAAAAATTATTTGTGTGTTGCCAAGAGCACACATTAATATCATCGTAAGAGAAATAAGAATAATGTTACATAATTGTCTAACTAAAACATAAACGTTACATAAGCTGCATATATATATATATATGCGCGCGCTCATAAACGTGACTCGCTGGCGAATAAAACGTGGATGCTTTACAGTGGTAGTAGATGGTTAATTAGGACAGCTTTTTCAGCTCTGCGTACGTAGTAAATAGGCGATTCTGTTACGACTTCTTATGCACTTTGTCATCCTATAAAAAAAGTGCACTATACCTTTTTAATAGTTAAACACTAGTTTTTCGTAACAGGAAACCAAAATTGTGGTTATAGTAGACTGAGAAATTGAAGAAGATAAACAAGCGAACGAATTTACGCATCGAAAATCAAACACAGACAAACAATGTGGTTTATGCATCATTCAACAATTTATAATAAATATCAATTATTATTGTTATTATTGACTCTTATAACTCTCTTGCATATTTTATCCAATTTACATGTGATAGTTGCATTGAACTTCAAAGAACAGGTGTTACGTGATTCAGAAATGCTGAAGGTATTATCCACTTTAAAAGGTATCCCGAAAAATATGAGTAAACATGAACTTTTTGAAATACGTAAAAATATACCGAAATTTGTTGAAAACTGGATTACCTTTATAAACAATGAACAATTATTACTTGATTATACATACGGTAAAATATCGAAACATGCTTTTGATGATCTACGGAAATCCATAGTCTTTCTTCGAATCGGTAAGTGAAATGTTTATTTGGTTTCGTTTGCTTTCTTTTTTAACTAATAAGAAACGCAAAGAAAAGAGCCGGAAATTACTGGAGTTTTGTTTTTATTGAGTCTTCCTATCCGTTATTTGTAAATAATTATGTTTTTTCTGATAGTTTCTGGGTGTAAAAACACTATTTGGCCAAAAAATACAGCATAAATTACACTTGTGTACTTGTTATTAGTCATATAAGTATAAAATATCTATCCTTTATCCATTCAGGCCCTCAGAGTTAGCATCACCATGTGGTGTGATGCCATTTAGTAATTTGGCTAGCAATCATATTGAAAACTTGACCGCTGCACTATGGAGTTGATATTCTGCTTAATAATAATAATAATCTGATAATGAATTTATGTAAGTGTTGGGATATTCTAGAAGAATTTTTGGAACTATCACTTCCACCTTCGTTATTTATGTCAGTAGAAAACTTACATGTATCTCAGAATTTACTGAGCAGTTTGTGGAATACTGTCTTTTGTCATGAAGTTTCTTGAAGTTTTACTAATTTTACATTCTAGACAATTTTGATTTCAGCATCATACTATGTCACATAAACAAAAGTCTGTCACACAAAATGCTAATACATTGATGGACACCTTAAAAATGCCAAACTTTCATGAATGGTTCAAAGTTCTTCTCTATGGCTAAAGCTGTGAACCTAAAACTTGTGTCCCTTATTTTGTAGACGTCCACACTGATGGTCTAGAATTCAGCGTAATAACAACACTGTATTTCGTACTTGTAGAGGTGATTTGTAGATGAAGATGACAGTGTGGTCATTTCGTTATTTATTGAGTAATCAAGCTTGACTACAAGCCTTAAATCTCAGTGGTGGAATCAACACAATATCGCATACAACAGTGTGAGTTCGCAGCAGTTAAACAATATAACCAATGTAGCTGTCTGCTTGTATATATCTAATTCGTAATAAATTTTATTACCGATTATCTATTAGAAGGTGAATATTTTGACAACCAGCGCCACAGAGGTTTCATACAAACTAAGAAGTCATATTTCTAAACTATTTTACTTTATGTATTACAAACTTTTGCATCTTAGAATAATATGCAGTAATCAAAGATAAACAGTAACTTCATGACGTCTAAACAGAATAACAAGTTGAATAATGTGAATATAAGGCGTTTGAAGCTCAAAAACACAAGCATTTATAAAATGCGATAAATTCATCATGTAGCGAAGTTAATTTAGAGCAAATATATGCGATTATACTCCTCACAAGCTCATTCACCCTTATGAACCGTTCATCATGTAAATACAGAGTTTGTTTTCCTGATCTATTTTAGTCTCTGACTACCTATTTAATGTAAACTTAGAGACTGAAAGTCTCAAAATAACTAATTAATAGATTGATTCCATTAATTTTCTAATATAAAAATAACATCAGAAAGGATTTAGTGAGTAAAGCGCAGCAAATAAAGTCTAATTATAGCCCGTCTAATAAAGATGACTAGACAAATCATCTATAGGTCCTTTGTGAAATTTGAGTAGTTTACAAACAATTACAACTCAGCAGCCCATTTTGGACAGGTAAGTTATGAAGTTATCCATATGTATCATTTACAGATAACAGATATTTCTCTTCTCCTATTTGTCATTCTGTGCATAACTAAGCTTCATAAAAGTAAATAAATCATACAGCTGGAGACGGATAGAAAAAGAAAGGCTGAAAAAACATGGAAATGTTTTTATATTATGATGCTACTGGAGATTGTGACACAGATGGAGTCTCTTTAAATGTATGTTTGCGCCGATTACATGAAGTGTAGAGTTTTAGGCAGATGTAATAATTAATAGATGAAAAATATAATTTTTTGCTTTCATTAGTATTTGTGTTTGCTTTTGCAATCATGGTAATCATCTCACGTTTTCAGTCAACTGTTTACATGTCATTTTAACTTTAAAGACAGTGTAATAACTGACTAGATATTACGGTATCTTATCGACATTTTTAGTCTTATATTCAGATATTCTATGAAATCTAAGCGTCTGTCACTTAAAGTTTTACTGAATGATTGTTAAGACATTTATGCAAAGCATGGCAACATATATTATTAAGTAAAGGTTTGATCGAAAAAAGATGGCATATTGCTCTTCACCTATTTCTACCTAAACTATTGAATATTTGAAAAGGTATAAGTCAGAAAGGGGTGTACTACTTTTGGTGTATATCCATCCACCTTAATTCTCTCGACATTCTGATAATGCCAGTTGACAAGAGTGAACATAGTAGCCTTTAGACATAGTCGATATTTTTTGAAGGTGTCCAACTTTAATCTTCAACTTGGTATTCAAAAATGGTTTTTCTCACAAACTAATTTTCATTTTCCATCGTGTGATGAAATATACCCGTCTGCTAACAGACAAGCAAAATAAAGTTGCATTCAGTCAAGAATTGACTCCATTTTATGCTATACAGTTATAGGTAATATAGGAAGTTAGTCGCCACAAAAATTACTCTGTCAATATGCACATGACTGAAAAAAAAGTCAAAATTATTGTTAGGTGGTAGGGTTAAAGTTGGTGAATAGAAGAAAAAGTTAACAAAGAAACGATTTAATTTTAAGAAGCATAAAGTAAGTGAAATATTTTCAACAGGGAAATAAAATAGAAGACAAAGTAAATGAAAATTCAACAGTTAGAAGCAAAACTATCAAGCACAGAGTAATGGAACTGATTCTGTAAAACTTTTAAAGTTCGGAATTTACATTTTCAACCATTTATCGGCTGTAATTCCTCTACGCATGTATAAATGACGAATGTAGGGACTTTTAGCATGTTTGGTTGGAGTGTCCTGACTAAATTTAAAAGATATACGATGGAGCTCAAAACTTGTTGATTCCATGTTCGCTACTTCGTGTTTCTTAAAATCTATCACTTTATTTAACATCCCCTTTTTGCATCGAATCCGCTTCAACTCATCCTCCAGCAATCACACACTTTGTCTGTTCAATATAAATATGAGTTCGAGGTCGTTGAAAAAAGATAATTCTTCTCTGAAAAAACCTTTGCTCTTCATTAAAGTCAACATAAAAACAAAGTCCATTTCTTGAATTTTTGAACACAGTCTAGCAAAGCAATCACTTCTTATTATCGTAATTCTTCTTATTCGAGAGTACCTGCCTAATAATTAATTAAAACTGTTTTCTTTGTTTAATTCCTTTCTCGACAAGTGACCTAATGCTCTCAAATATGTGACTCATATAAAATATTGCTAAGTTAATGAAATTCGCCGGAAAGGGAATTTTTCATTCACCCAGGAAAATATATTTCCTAGGTTATTTCCGTGTTCATGTGTAGAAAGAAATAACTGTCTGATGAATATTCATTTTCACTGTTCTCCTCATTAATTTCTACAGGCACTTTGTATACAGAAATTTTCTTGTCTCAAAGGTGCATTTAAAAGACTATAAAACAAAATTAGGGATTTAAAGTTCAAATGTGAACACCGTTAACTTGAAAGTGAGATTCCTTTAAATCCAAATTTAACTTAAGTAATTTATGTCAAGCAAACGAATAATACTTTAATAATAATAATAATTTGCTTTATTCCAAAACAGTTCTTGTGTTACAGAATGGAATTCTCAGCATTTTACTACAGTATTTCATCTAGTTAGTACATTAACAATAAATAGAATTCTACATAGATTAAGGGTAATCTTGGTTAGTTTTGACAACATATTAGCATGTCGGTAGCAAAGCCAAAATTAAACAGAGTGATTGAAGGTGTTAGAAAAGTAGATGCTGGCTATATTTACTGGCGTAAGCGGTAAAAAAAGGTCGAAATATACAGATGTGAAAGAACGAAGAAGAATGTTTTAAATAGAGTTTGTAAGGAAGAGAGAAACAAAGCAGCACATAACAAAAAAAAGGAAAAGAAAGAAAATGTTGTACCTATAAATGATATGAGTTGGAAAGACGAGATCCAGTTGTTCTACTGACTATTTAATAAGTTATAGGTATCACGCCTAATGCTTTCTTTATCGCACAGAACACGAGCTAAGTAGGGTATGGTTGAGTTTTTGTACTTGCTGGTGCGAGCATATAGTTTTCTACATAGGCCTTTCGTTTTGCCTGATGAGATACAAGGGAAGAGTTGTGAATGAAGGGGGCGGTGTGAGTTAGATAGAATGGATATAGCCCATTTTTCACATGAGTCTAAGTGCCTGTCGACCACAATATTAACAGCTGGTTAAGTGGCACGTTGCTTACCCTGCTGACAACCTTTAACATCCTGCGTAACATGTTATAGTCTTTCTTCAGTAGCCCGGGAAAAACTAAAGGGGAACAACAGAGAATAATAGGCAGGATGCAAGAGTTAACGAATCGCAGGAGTAAGGGTTGGGTTATACCAGAATGTCTTAACTTCTTGATGTAGAAGAACTTAAAAATGAGACAGTGTAAAGCCGGCCAGAGTAGGTAATCTTGGAGTAGTTCACAGTTAACTTGTCTGTGGGACTACGATTGATTCCGAGTGGACTTTAACCGCATAGTGTAAAGAACTACGGAGATCTACTGAAAATAAGAAATTCTAAGTAGTTTTTACAGTGTTCACATGTTCTGTGAGGTTTCGGCTTTGACTCAGCAAGTTGGAATTCCACTCGTCACAATATATATTACTTATTAATTTGGGTGTATGGTAACCGGTATCTAATGTTGTCACTGAGTTTCGTAGAACACGTCAATCAGTGGTTCAATTTGCTCACACTCACCAGTGAATAATGCTATCCTGGGTACCACTTATATTTGTACTCTAGTAAGTAGCTCTCAATTAGGTTATAATAGTTATCTTTTAGTTCTGTAGAAAAGTTTCAACTAGTAAAATGGCACGTTTTACGCAACATTTAGGCATATATATGATTCATCTGCGTTCATTGTGCAGATAATTAACCTAATTCGAATAGTCTGTTTTACTTCCTCTTTGTTACCACCCCCAACACACACTTGTACGTTTTTGATTTTTTTTTTCCTTTTCAGCTCCATGTAAAATTAATAGTGAGAAACACTACAAAGTTTGCTTTTCTTTTCATCCATCTTCTATCATTCCAAAGCATACAATTCAATCGGCCACTATATCTACATATTTACAACCATGGATTAATCCTAATAGGTTGAAACTGCACGTATTTCTTATGAATTCTTACCGTAAAATCTATGAACACTTTTATATTAATTTGAATAATAATAATAATAATGATACTGGGACTAGTGAAAATTTGGTATTTGAACAGATTCAATCACCGCATCGTCAAGTAACATGGGATATTAGTGTAATGATGAGAAATTTACAACAATCTAAATATCATTTAATACATTCATTTATAATGACTTTAGAAAATTCTGAAAGTGATCCAAATTTGAATTTTATTGACGCAGCTGATCAGTCCATTTCTTTTCTTACTAAAGATGGAGATGAAAATGACAGTGCACTCTCTGATACATATAATGAAATAGATGATGTTTTCAAGAAGGTCAATATTAATGATGATGGTGATGATGAACCCGACAGAGACGATGATTACGGGACTAATGATGAAGTCAACAATCAGGATAATGATAATACTAAGCGTGTTAATAATAACAATAATAATGTTGAAGAAACCACTGATAGAAATGAATTGTTTATTATCAACGACAGTGACGATTTTAAACTGCACAAAAGTCTAGACATTAATGATAAGATACTCAGCGAAAATGCACAAATTATACTGAATATGAAAACACCGGAAATGTTACAATTAGAACGACATTATTTATCTAGGAAGCGTTTAACACCCCGGTCTTTTCTCGCAGATTCAACAGGTCATAGTTTTCAACCTCAGTCGTGTCCAAGTTTTTTAGATCGTGGTCAATATGAAACTAAGTGTTGCCTGTTTCGATACACACTGAATAAGTTACAAATGGATGAGAATGATAAGCTACGTTTTATTATTTTTCCCCATCATTTGCCACTGAATATGTGCCATGGAAGGTGTATTGGTAAGTTATTAGAAACCACTTATATTACATTTTTATCGTATTTTATTTAATTAGCCGTAGTTAGTAACGTCATTCATATAGACAATATTTGAAATCTACAAGTACACAGACTTTATGCTTTCTACCGATTCCACTTAGTACAGATAAGGTGGGTTTCCAAGGAGTTCAACTAAGTAATACCAGTCATCACATAACATTGCTGGATATGATTCTTAGCTTAAGGGCTTATGTTAGACAGAATGGAGAAGTTGAGTCATGGAGGAAGATGAATTAAAGCTGAACGATAAACCAGTGTCACTGGCAACATCTAATATCGAGCAGATACGTGTAATGTGTAAATACATCTCTGATAGTGGATAAAATATAAAAGAGATTTGAGTTACATTAGTGAACTAGAACATTTCCACATATATGACATGTTCAAATACCTTCCTGGCTCTTAATTTTGGTTAGAATATCTCTCGTTTACAGAATATTTTATCAAAAATGTAGAAATTTAGTTGAATTGAGCCTATATGGATTTTGTTTCACCTATCTCTTCAGCTAATAAGTACACGAACTTTCCTGGCTGTCACTGGTACTTAAGCCAAAAAGGATTATATGAGTATACCAGTTTATGACTTAGAATCTGCTTTAAAATTACAGAGCTTAAAGGACAGTATCAACGGGTCTGTGAGTATCAAGGTAGTTTTTATAAAGAACATAGCTGAAATCATGCTATTCTTTCAGATGTATAACATACTGTTTAAATTTATCCTTTGAAAACAATTACTTGTCGACCCATACTGGCCAAATACTTACAGTACATTCTGTGCCAATTGGAGAAGCAATTGCTTTAATGTGAATTAATAATCAGAATATTTAACAAAATCTACGTCGAAAATCTAAGAAAAAAACGTAATCTTTAAACATGACCACGAATAAAGGCCTTATATTGAAGCGGAAAGTGTAGAAATTTCACTGGTTTTAATGAACGGTGTAACTCGAGGGTTCCACTACAACATCACAGTGTACAAATTATAGTCAGTTTCAAGTAAAATAGACTAGTCGGTCTGTCGATTAGTTTACAGAATTTGTGAACACCACTTTTAGACGGAAATGCACTTTCTCGTACCACTGGTTTAAATAGGTGTGAGTACAGGTGGTCAATAGAGAATGGTAATAATAATAATAAACATAAAATCAGCGGTGAAAATCTCTTAAACTTCTCATTTCCACATGCTATGTTTTAAGAGAAAGTCATCCTGCAAGTCATCAACAAACATCACACACTCACAAACTGACAGTTAAGGCATCACTTGAAGAGAAAAGCATTCATGTCGAATTTGATGAAAATTCATTTCACTATGCTTAACATTTAATGATAATAATAATAACAATAATGATCTGCTTTATTCCAAAAGCAATACTTATAATACAGGATGTAATCTTTAGTATTTGTCACAATATTGCATCTAATTTACTCAAAATAGAAATAAAATTAACCACAGGAGCTTTCCATATTTACAATAGGAATAATGTCAAGAATGTGCAAAGTATGAAATGAGAATAATAATAATAATAATAATAATAGTAACAATAACAGTAGCTTTGTTTCAAGCGATATTGTTGACACATTATGGAAATTTTAGCATGTTAGAGAATGTTGAATCTAATGTCCTCTTGATATAGCATGGTGAGGAGAAAAACAAAAAAATAACAATTACTACAGACCTTGAATGGTGTTAACAGTTATGAAAAAAAATAAAAATAACAAAACAGAGAGACTCTAAATATAACAGGAATAATAACAGTTAGACTGGATGGCATAAGGATGGAGAAAATTGTTTATTTACACGTGGAAAGAAGGATAATCAGTTCGTGCCTGACGCTAATTTCACCGCAAAAAATATGTAGCATAAGGTAATTTTTGACTCATATGTCAAAAACGATTAATTAAGAAATCTAATTTTAGACTAACTCTCACTGTAAGTTACTGTAAACAATTTATACAATACGATTTGTTGTAGGAAAATTAATTCTTTCTGATTAGATTTACCTGATGTTTATTCTACCTACAAGTGCTTACTTTTAAAAATCAAATTAACACTGAAGGGATCATTTTGATTGATGGTAAAATAAATGTGGTAAATAGCAGTTATATAAACCGTGTACACTAACTAGCGATGTTTCTTAGCTTAACGACCAAACAGCTATCTCACTGATTTCTGATTCATAGTGTTACTGTGTTGCCGAAATGAAAGAGTTCAATCGCTTATTTCATTTGAACTCCAATTCTGTAGGCATGAAACAACGTTGTTTGTTTCCGAATAGAGGTATAGAATGATGGAACTCAAACCTCAAACTCTTACCATGTTTAACCACGTAAACTGGGGTGCTAACTATCAAATGTGAAAAGTTTAACCAGGCATCATTCCACAGATTCCTTTGCCTTTCTAGTTTTGAAAGAGTCTTTGATTTTCTAGTTTAGAACATTTACCCTTTAAATTATTAGGCAGTCACTGTTTTTCACCAACTGGAAAGCAACTTAACATCACTTTCATCTGAGGATATTATAATAAAATGCATTTAACAGATTGTATTGCGAATGGTGAAAAATAAAGTCATGAAACGCAATTTAAACAATTTGAGTATATCAGTGGAATATACTCATGTGATAAAAGGAGAAGAATGGATGGATGAATTAAGGTAGAATCTTATTTTCACTGACGCATCCTATTAAATTTTACATTTGTGGATATATAATGAAAACAGGAGACAATTCTAAGACTACTTCTGATAAGACGTAAAAATTCAGGGAATAAGAAAAGGAAACTATAAAGTATAAGTGCGTAGGTGGCATAGGGGTTAGGATTCTCGCCTATCATGCACATGGTCCGGGGTTCGATCCCCTGCCGACGCACACCTGATATCTATGGTCGGCCTGCAAACTTTGGGCTACCGATATCACATGATAAAAACTCCATACTTGTACCGAAAATACTGTGTGGTTTCAAGCTATGATCAAAAAAATAAAAATAAAAAATAAGTAGAGATCGCGAATGGGAGAATCAACAGGGAATTAAAGTAATAAACATAACTGCATAACAATGTATTCACCGAGAAAGTCAACTTGTTATGAGACCCATGAAGAGTGATAAATCAGCTTTTTTTTACACTAAGAGTTATACTGATTCTCTGAATCAGTTATGCTCTAGCTACGTCCAGATTTCCTAATTTCGCAACTTATGAGAAGCCTAGTCAAAAAATTGTAAAGGGTTTTCAGGGATTTATTGAATCGATATTAGTTCTCTAACTTCCTAAGCTCTTTTTCAATTGAACTAAGAAGTGAGCACCACCAAGCTAGGTGTGTTCATGAAAGCATTTTACAGGTGGTTTTGTGGTACAGCTGATGCTTTTAACTTCACATGAGCGTATAAACTCCTGTATGCACACTGATGTGGCCCAGTATGTCCCTTTAACTTTCACATATGAACCAAATGGTTTCATACAGAGGAATATTATTAAAAATGTGTTTTATTCAGAGATTTAGATAGTCTTTTCCATAGAATATCAGCTGCAATATCACCTAAGAATTAAAGTTTCAAAATTAAGTATAAATTAAGTTCATTCTAAAATTTAGTAATCCGTTGTGTTATGTGTCGCTTAGGTGATGACAATTGGATTATCTAAGTACGTTTCTACATAAAACGGAACATCCACAAAGATGCTGCATTGTAGGCTACTATTATTATTCAACACTATAGTGGTCTAAATAACCGAATATTGTCAGCTCAGAGAACTCATTCAGTTCAAAACCCAGGTCTGAAGGAATATGTTTTTTCCAACCAAATTTGCTGTTTATTTTTATATTTTCCTGCAACAAAGTCATCTTTGTAGACAAATAGTGGATTGATACAAAAACTAGTTTCTTTAATCATCAAGTAGATACTAGTGGATATAAATTAACTTACAAACATCAGTAGGAATTTTTTCAAAAGACACATATAAACGGCGGCAAACAATTCTCTTTTTCATGCACTAGTATCGGGCACAAGATCTAGTCTAAATTCAATAGGTCTATCGACAGAATCTAAAATTTATTGATGAATTAAACTTGTAAACTTGACGAACAAACAAAGTGTAAACAGAAATAACTCAAAGAAACTAAAGGATGAATAGTGAGATTATCTTCTCATTTTTTAAAACTCACTTTATGCAAATCTGCTCATTGGAAATTTCGAAACAGAAAGTTTTGTCAACAAAGATCAGTTGCATATATATAAACATAATTTGCTTATTTCGTGCCAACCAGTGCTACATAAACTACAATAAATAAGTTGTCATCCTAGGCTGACCACTATTATCAATACAATGAAATTATGCGAGATAAAAGGCAATACCTATCAGAAAAAGTTGCCTTTATTTTACTTAGCAGTCCAAAGTAAAGTAGTGGGATAATTGCAACGATCAGTTTGTAGATTTTTACCTAGGTATAAGGCATATGTATCCTGCTAGTAAGTCAAAAATAAGAGGAGATATGCATTCAGCTTTCCACTTATAATAATAATAATGTGCTAGTGCAGTCTTAGGTGTATATTTTCTAGTCAAGAGGATAATGAATCTATCGACGTTATACGAAGGACGACATTACTGTTTTACACTTGTGTTAAAGGTTACTAAACAAGAAATGTTGTATTCCTGAGTGAGCAAATGATAGATGTAGAATGAAACCTTCGTAGAATCTCATAGATTACAGTTTCATGTACTTAATTACCAGCAAATAAATTTGAACAATTCTCCTGCATAATCTGATTTAATTATATTTATATGTATCATGCATTATTTATCACTAATCTACTCATTAATTCAAAAAAAAAGCCGGATATGTATGAATTAAAAACTTATGCAATGTAAATTAGTAAAGTGGAATTAGTAGCTTGGAAAAAAATCTATTTACATTAAATAGTTTAAATAATGCTGAAATCCCACTACGCATATTATCGTCTATTGTACTAACCACACAATTCAAGATAATACTATGAGCGTAGTTCATGGCAAGATTTTATTTTATCGTATCCATATTTGTCGATAATGAATGAGATGCATGAAACATGTTTTAGTCGAAATTAATCTACAACAGAAGCGAGGTAAATTGTAATAATAGATATATTGGAATGGAAGAACGGTATGTTGGAGTAAATCAGGCACAAGAGAATATTGAATTAAGGTGGATTAATTTTATTTCTGTTCAGGTAACCTGTCAAACATTATACTTACAAGTATTACTTTATTAAAGTCGGTTCTGGTTTTCCTCGTTGATTGATTGACCATCCAAATGACGAGTTCCGAATGGGACGAAACGCATATCCCGGATTTCACTGCTAGTCCCTATCCAGCGAATAACATTATGTTTAAAGGTGGGTTGTTGAGAGTGATAGTTCTTCCTGTAGTGAGTATCGGATTATTTTCGAGGGTTAATTTGTACGGATTTGTGAGGATATATACACAAATCGCTAATTGGCATAGGTTAGAATTCTTGAGCCATGGGATTGGGTCGCATTAGCTGAGTGGTCTACTAGCTCGTCTTATAAACGGAAGGTCCTGGGTTCAAGTTCCAGTGGATGCTTACCGCTGAAGTCCCAAACTAGAATGGAATAACTGTCTGACACTCCATTTTTTTCAACGGTTCTCTAACTGATATCAATCCGAGATCAAACCTGGAACAAGTCCAATCTCTACAAATTAACTCTTGAAAATTTATGTGATGTTCGCTAAGAACGAAGTTTCCTGGGGTATTGGTGAGAAACAGTGATCAGGAGGTCCATTCCAATACATTTTTATCAAGAATGTCCAGAAAATACTTATCCAGACATGAATATAAAATGAACAATTTAGCGAAGAGTCTGTTTTCAGCGAATTTATTCACTTAGCTGCACAATCACAATGATATATAATTATTTGTGTGTGTGTGTGCATACATTAGGTTTGTCAGATGAGAATCAAAATTACTCAGGGTTACTGTTTACGTCATCGAAATTCCTCAAAAAATGTGGTGAATAATCAGATTGTAACTGGGGTGGGGGTGAAGGCTAGTAAGTATTGACAAGGGCTACGTCATGTGAAAGACACCCAGAAATAGAGGATATCAATGAAACAGCATGGAGACTAGTGTCCAAAATGAATAAATGAAATTATTTACTCTTTTTGCCTACTACATAATTTATTTTGGACACTTGTCTCCATGCTGTTTCATTGATATCCTCTATTTCTGGGTGTCTTTCACATGACGTAGCCCTTGTCAATACTTACTAGCCTTCACCCCCACCCCAGTTACAATCTGATTATTCACCACATTTTTTGAGGAATTTCGATGACGTAAACAGTAACCCTGAGTAATTTTGATTCTCATCTGACAAACCTAATGTATGCACACACACACACAAATAATTATATATCATTGTGATTGTGCAGCTAAGTGAATAAATTCGCCGAATAGAGACTCTTTGATGAATTGTTTTTTCTTCTATAAAGAATTTAGCTGTTTCATCACATGGCCCTTACAATCCTAATTAATTCTTTCATCGTAAAGATAATGTTGAGCTTAAACCTATTATCAACACTTTTTATCGAATTAATATGTTTTTTTTCTGAATAATTTCAGTACTACTTTCAAAAATGCTCCAAATACACATCAATAATAATAATTTGCTTTATTCCAAAACAGTACTTGTGATACATAATGGAATTCTCAGCATTTTTACTACAGTATTGCATCCAGTTAGTACATTATCAATAAACAGAATTCTACACAGATAAAGGAAATCTCAGTTCATTATGACAACAGCATACTAGCATGTGGGTAGCAAAGCCAAAGTTAAACAGTGTTTGAAGGTGTTAGAAAAGTAGATGCTAGCTATATTTACTGGCGTAAGCGGAAGAAAGAAACAAAGCAGCACATAACGGAAAAAAGAGAAAAAAAGAGAGAGAGAGAAGAGGAAAAGAAAGAAAGAAAATGTTGTACCTATAAATGATATGAGTTGGAAAGACGAGATCCATCAGTCATAACTACTACAGCACTGTTAAGCTACTATATTTCAGTCTTAGCTGGCTGCTTCAAGCGCTCAACCTCTGCCTGAAGAATCGCCCCAGTTACTTAGGTTGTGGGGATTTCATACTACTAAAAGGGCAGATAAATCGACACCACACTTCAAAGTAGAGCGAATAGTTAGGATGTTTTTAGAGTAACTAAACTACTTACGATAAGAATATAGATAGCTTGAAATTAAGTTGAAACATGTTTCGTAAATTATCTTCTGCCAAATTATCCCAGAATAGCAATTAGCTATCTGTCACTGTGTGTGCATTTCTACAGACCTTTAGAAAGGTGACTGAGCAGTGATGAAGAATACGACTAAATTCTACAATGACTTTATAAATCATAGGTACAAATTGTGGTAATTATTTACTCTTACAGAGAAAACTATGAGAATGTTTAGACCATTCGGTTCTTTCAACCATCATTATCTTGCATACTTTTTCTGTTTATTCATAGGACTTTATATTCCTACGGACAATGCACACAGTATCTTAATGAATCGCTACTTTTCAGGATTGCGTTCTGTTGAAAGGGAGGCTATTTACAATTCCATGCCCTGCTGTGCTGCGAATGAAACAATACCCTTTACAATACTTTATAAAGATCACAACGAACAGCTGGTCACAGAAACGCTGCCTACAGCAGTAATAACTAACTGTGCTTGTAGATGAGTGCATATCAGTCGTGATAGGAAGGATTGCATGAGAAAATAATTTTCACCCGTATTTATACTGCTAACTATCTTGTTAGTAGTGCAATTGAATTAAAATAAAATATTGAAGCAAATTGAAAAATTCGTTTTCACTTTTGTTATCAAATTCCTCGTTTCTACAATTGTGTTCAGTTTCGCTGAATATTTTCAACTCATTGAGAAGCACTTTACTCCATAAAGTGCTTGGTGACATTGATCTAAGTAGGAGATTTCATCTGAAAACTACTAAATCTCGTGCTTTAAGGTTTCTGCTTGGTTGCTCCTATTAAGAATAGATATCATTCAAAAGAAATTGTGAATCATGTTGCATTCATCAGTTGTTCTGTACTTGTTTGAAAATCCTCGTCAGTAAGCATATCTCTGTTTCATGCGGGTTTGAGCAAAGGAACTTCAGATTATAGGGCAAGCCTGTTGTCATTCAGTCAATCAGTTGAGATCCATAAGATCAGGATATAGCGCTATTACCTTCCAAGGTCTTTCCTGACACAAGTCCTAAAGGACTATACTAGGCTTCAGCTACTTGCCTAGGATTCACTAAAACACAAGTGTCGTATGTTAGTGTAGTCAATAAGAGAAAAATTTGCAAATAAAGAGTTACAAGCAACTGCTACCTCATACCTTAAATGGCGTCAGTTACGCACAGGCACTACATAAAGAAGGATTCTATTGGATCAGTTGAATGTTGTGTCTAGTAGGCATTTATCCTCTGGAAAGTGACGTAGCAATCTGCGTTTTCCCAAACTCCAGACATGAAGTGTAATTTAACCATCTTCCAGTATTTGTCCTAGTTGTTGATGTCGTGTATTTTACTCACAGCGATTATGTACTATGCAATCAAACTATTAGACACAAACATAGTCCATAATAAGCAATAATTTCCTATTTTTAACAAATCAACTTGTTTCAAAGCAGTTCACTAAAGCGATTAATACACTCTAAAAGTCAGCGGACAGCAAGGAGAAATAGACAGCCATTTTGTTGTAAATAACCACTCATAAAATTCAAATGGGAAGACTCTCTGTAGAGGCCATTTCGGTTAAGTATGATACTCATCACTTACACCAATTAAGGAACACTATATATTTTTCAGTAGTGGAGAATAAACTGTTGATGACTGGATTTTCACTGAGTGTCTCAACGACTGTGTCTCTTTACGAAAACTGTAGTCATGGATATACATCCATACATATAAACAAAAAACAGAGACTAAGATGTAGTAAGCATCCAGAGCATCCTGAGGCTTATTTATTTTCTTTCTAACATAGATTCGTGATAAAGTCTTTTAAAATCAATAAAGTTTCTGTGAACTTCCCAAATGACTGCTGTGATTTATTCATTTATTGACTTAAGCGTGAGAGTTCATTAATTTGATCACTTTGTGAATGGTTATACGATGGAATTCTTAGGGTTATGATGAGTGGTCGTGAGCTTTAGAGTTCACCATGTTGAGTTTAAGGACAGATACTTACCATAGGTATTGACAACGTAGCACTATGTCACAGGGATTAGTAAAAGTTAGGGTTCATAAGTTATTGGGCAGATTGTCAAAGTGTTTACCTCTCAGTCTTGCGTTCGACGATGATGAGGTTGTAAATGCACACTATTGAAAAGTCTCAGACTAAGAAGAAAGGTCTCGTGGATGATCTTCGGTCTTTTATGACTAATACTGGTTCGTGATGGGATCTATCTTCAAGTTATTCAATTCCTTACAACATAAAACCTGAAGTCCTTTATTTCACCTATGCAAACTAAGCAAAGTAGTGGGTCACATGTATGATCCTGATAAAATTATTATGGTATTTGGCTTCTGTCAAGGTGAAAGATAAAAATATTGCGTGACAAGTGAACAACACTGTAAAGTTGAAGTCAATCACCTGAAGACTGAAACCTTATTGAATGGTAATTTTGAAATAACCAACGTCATATGCCTATTTCTTAGTGCGACTATGTAGTGACCAGACTAGGTGACTTGAGCCACCACGGTAAATAACATTGAACATACTCTCTAGCGACCGGTCATTGTAACCATTTCAGTCTCACTGAATATAAATGACATACACACTAGCTTGGTGGTAGCGTCTCTGACAGTAGAACTAAAGGAAGTGTTTCAAACCTTTCAAATGATACGCCTTGCTAACGGGTACCAATAAGGCCAAAACTGGTTACTTCCAATTACTTAAACATCAAACTGAAACTGAACATAAAAATACTGTACTATTTTGCTGCAATTTCACTTTCAAACTATTCTGTATTTATTCCTACTAGTATAAATTTCTATGAAGTATCGAAAGATTACTTGCAATCAAAGTTATGGCAAGAGAAAATAGTCTAAAAGGGATGAATGGATATCGATGGACAGACAGATACTAATACTGAAGAAAATGATTAAGCAAACAAATATTATTCGGAAATTTAAAGCTTTCTTGATGCTTGAGCGTAAAATTTGTGAATGACTATCCCCAACTACTGATTTCCCTGCCTTTCGAACTTTTCTTCATAGCTTTAGGACTTTATCCTAGATATTGATTGATTCTATCACTTTTAGCTCCTGCCGAATCCTTATCTTCAGCGGAATAACATAACACACTGTTTGAGATAATGGACTGCTGTGAGACAACAGCACCATACTATGAGGTCAGTAAATAAAGGTTAATCGATTTTATCTGCTCATTATATGCTTATTTTCAACCAATGTATCGAAAACACTCATGAAGAAGTTTATATTACTGTGACTGTCAACTGTGTTCTCGTGTTCTTCATATATTAACATCACTTTCTGTGCTGATCACATGAAAAGTTGCTTTGTACACCGAATGATAAGCATGCTAACGTGACTAATTGATGATACGATAATTAATGAAAGTTTTATGAAGATTGAATTTCTTTTCTTTCTTGTATTAGACGTTTGTTGTATATTAAATAAATTTGAAAATGAGATTTCTGATGCTATGGATCGAAAGGAAGACTTTTAGTCTTTAAGAAACTTTTATCACTTAGATTACGATGACCGGAGTGGTAGCTGAAATTCTGCTAATGAAACTGTGAAAACTTCTTGATAGTGTGTTAAGTTTGTCTGCGTGAAACAAATATTTGTTATAAATTCACTTCATAACGGACAGACACCAAGTGAAGAACTTTTAGAAACTGAAAATTGTTGGGTTTATATCCCACTTTAGTCTGAGGACTTTCACGCACTTTGAGGAGGAGGAGGCTGAGGGACCGTCTGCCATTACACGATGTCGATGTGAATTTGCAATAAATGCATAGGAAATCTTTTTTCTTGAAACTACATACAAATCAGCGCAAAGTTGTGATATGACTGATTGATTTTTGAAGAATCGACTAATTTAATGTAAAGTTTACCTTGAAATCAGAAAATTTGCCAGAAAATAATTGCTCAGATTTCATGGTTGTTTACATTTCAACTTCAGATGAGGATTCATCGATCATATAAACCAAGTGACTTGCAAATGAACAGAAGGTTAGATAGCGAATTTCTTTGTGCCGTCATTTTGGGAACTTCGTTTTTAAGAGTATCTTTACTGAAGGATGTAATGTAAATAATAACTAATCTGACATCATCAGTGTTTATTACCGACATCCTCAGCTTACATTACCACTGAAATATGTCAATACAGTTTATTTTGTTTTTAAAAAAAGCAAATATTGATTCTCTGAGTAATTCGAATTCGTTTTTTTCGGATACATATTGTGTGAGGCAGCTTTTTGCCTCATTAATCTGATCGATTACGAATTATGATATTTATCAAGGCTTGCAGGAAATTCTGTGGAACACTTGAGAAGACCATGAATTAATTCTATATTTTGATAATCCACTGATTGGATTTATTCGGCAGATGAACTAAAATGTTGTTCGCGATAGGCTTCCTTTGTACACAGAAGAGACTGCAGGTGAGAGAGACTTCACAACACTATGTCAAACAGTCTGTTCACCATATTGGATGAAATCAATGAAAAACAGTGAAGGAAAGCTTATTACCAAAGAGGTAGAACAGAGAAGTCACAGTTCTGATCACTTCAAGGCTTTCTTAAATAGACTATCATCTGCAACTAATCTAGAAATATCATCAGCATTCAATGCCAGCCCTCCAACGAAAGCAGAAGTATAGGTCATCAAGTCACAAGGAGGCGTGTTAGCAGCAGAACCAAATGGGATTCCCTAGAAGCGAAGAAATTGAACCGAACCCTATCTGAGGATTTGAAGAAGGGCTACCTTGTGAAACTGACAAAGAAGGGTGACTTATGAGTGTGCAAGAAATATTTAGTCGCATCGGGTTGAGAAGACTAAAAGATGTCTTAGATGGAAGATTTAACCCGGAACAGGTTGGATTTAAGAACAACAGATAGTGAATGGATCAAATTCCAACAGTAGGCATCATCATCGAACAAGGACTAGAGTGGCTGTGAATTCTATACTCCAGCTTCATCGACTTTGCTAAGGCTTTTGATTGTAAAGTAAATTGAAAAACGCTTTGAAGTGAAGTGGCGGAAGCATCTGTAAAGCTCACTCAACATCCTAATGATGATATAGTATAACGAGTAGTTTGAAACGGAGCAATTCAAAGGAGGTTATCACTTCTTTCACGTATCCAATCAGCATCATTTCAGCCAAAAGCAGCACAGATGAGAATATCAAAGCCAGATTCAGGTGTAAATGCATTACGTGCGTTCACTACCGTGAAGTCAGCACTTAGCACAAGGAAAAATATCCAAAATTTCAACACAAATATCAAGTCATTAATTGAATATGGTTCGGATGCATATGGCGTGCCTCATCATCCGTAGGCCTGATGCACATGTTCAACAGCCACCTTCTGTAGCTTGGTGCTAAATATCATATGGTTGGTCAGGCAGAAACCTATTTCTGAACTTATATGCAGAAGGCAATAGATGTGGAATGGATATAGAATGAGGAGAATTTCAAGTGAAATCACATTACAGGTAGTCGACGGTAATCCAAATTGAAAAGCGATGGGTTGGGCATCCGTGGCTGACATGGAGCAAATCATGCAGAGACAAAATTAAAGCTTGTGGGCAGTCACAGAGTCGGTTAA